CTCGCATCCTTTTTTTTTTTATGGATACCTCTGCGTCTATCGCTCAGTTGGCGCAGGCGACAAGCCAAGTAAGCCAGGAGATTAGGCTTTGCTGGGCATTAAAAGCGAAATACAACGCATTTTAGGGTTTGTGAATTTTTTTTCTCTTTGTTTCACTCTAAAAAAAGCCGATATGCTTGAGGGTGGTAATAAAAACACAAACAACGGCGCTAACACGAATGGCATGCTCACCGGTTTGTCCGATGCGCTTCATTCGTCCGAGGACGACCTGCGAGCCCCGTACGGTCAAAGGAAAGAGGGAGAGGAAGATGACGGAATCGATAGCTTCGGCATGCCGGCGTACGTCCCACAGTATCCGCTAGAGCAGCGGTACTACGAGAGTGTCCTTAGCGTGCCGTGGCACCTGCGCAAGCCTATTGCAACGAGCAAATGCACATTCTTTGACTTTCTTCGCTCGCAGCAGTTCTGGCGCCAGGCGGGGTTTGCCCTTCGTATCACCCTTTTTGCGGTCCTACTGCCCTCTATTCTCATTGCGCAGGAGTATCCGAATTCCCCATTTGTGTCGACGACGTACTGCTTCTCCGCCGCAGTGCTAGCGTCAAAGGTGACTGTTGGTGAGGGCCTCGGGTATTTGCTCACATGGGCGCGTGCCGGCTGCATCTGGCTGCCGCTTGCCACCATTGGCACAGCTCTCCACCTTGGAGATCACATGGTTGCGTGGTGTTTTTACTACACAATCCTCCTTTTTGTGATGGCAACGGTGACAGAGAACATGGTCCGGCGTATCTGCCTCCTGCTTTTCAACAGTTGCATGATTGGAATGCTCGTCAATCCCTCACGTAATGCCCTGTTTCCTTCACGGGTGATGGTGGATTGGTGCATCGGTACCGGCCTCTGCCTCTTCGCAACATTTGTGCCGTACCCAATCTTCTCAAAGGCAGAAGCGCAGCATGCTTTGGCGGAAGTCGCACGGGACACAGGAGCTGCGTTCACTGGCATGGTGTCGTGCTTCTGGTCAGCAGCCAACGTCAATCGCAACATGTCCTTGACAAAGTCAAGGTTGCTGACGGCTGCAATTGACCAGCAGCTGCAGAAGTATTATATTGCACAGGATCATGCTTTCTTTGAATTCTTGTTTGAGCCGTGGGAGGTGCGAGACGTGCGCGGAGCAAAGGCCCAACTGTTTGAGTCTCTCCGCACGAATCTGAGGGGTCTCTCTCGTGTTTTGGACATTGTAGAAGAAAAACCGTGGGTTGTGGACGACCCCGAACGGTCCAGGGCCTTTGGTGATCTTCTTGAGCCGTTTATTTGCCAATTCTCCAATTCTCTCGATAAGCTCACCGATGCGCTTGCGACAGCGAAGACTTTTGATGATATTAGAGCACTTCATCCCCTGTTTCTGGAGCTGAACGATGCCACAATGAATCTGCAGAGCGAGTTTAACCGAGCCCGACGCAGGCTCTTTTATGAGTACAAACCCGACAAGTTAGAAGAATTCGTCCCTTTGATGACGTTCTTCATATTTTCCATCATCAACTTCCGTGATACCATGATGAAGCTGGACTATGATGTACACTCTGCTCAACCCAACTGGAATAGTTCTGCCCGGTTGATTCTATTGAAGACTGTTTGGGAACCAATTGATGATAATATCCAATTTTTCAAGCGCCTCGGTACACAGTGGCGACGCCGTGAGATACAGCGTGTGATTGAGGCGGCAAAGGTAAGTGGGGCTATGATACTTACTGTTGGCTTCTCGTACCTTATAAAAATCGACAAAGAGTCCCTTTCTGGCCCGAATATCATTGCCTTCGTTTCTGGCAGCAACCCAGTTGAGGCGGTTCAGGCATCTGTGGTGCGGCTCACAGCCTGCATTTTGGGTACTGTGCTCGGTTTCTTTGCAGGCAGTTACTCCACCACAACCACCGATAAGATTGCGTCGCTGTGCACCCTCATGTTTTTGGGTACCTTTTTCCGCATGGACAAGGAGTATGGGATCATGGCAGTGTATGCTATGTTCGTTTTGATTCCTTTGGACACACTGGGTCCCACGACAACAGATGACACCATCGCCCGCATGAATCAGAACACGTTTGGTATATTTATTTACGTTCTTATCAGCATGATGGTGTTGCCGCTCAGCCCAAGCCTCATCCTTTGCAAAAAGCGTATCAACATTCTCATAAAAGTGAGTGAGGCATTGACATCGTTGTGTGACCTCTTTTCAGAGCCGTTGCCGATCGGAAACATGCGCACCACAAGTATTATTCGACGAGAAAAAGTCGCCAATATTGAAAACGCCTCCGATGATTCAAATATTATGAATGACGTTACGGTCAATATGAACATGAGTACTCGCTTGGTCCTCCGTACAGATCACACCATGAAGAACCTTAACGCGCTTCTACGTGATATTGAGTCTCGGCTCAAGGCCACATACCTCTTCATGGGGTTTGCCCGTGAGGAACGTGGCTTGGTAGAAGTGGACTATCCTGTTAAGGCCTGCGAGAAGACGTCCAATCACCTCTACCGTATGATTTGCCTGCTGAAGACGATGTGGTGCAGTTGGGATGTCATACGGAGTCAAAAGTTTTACGCCCCTGAAACTCGTCATATCTTTCGCATTCTGCAGCCCATCGCGTGGGATGCTTCACGATCCTTCAGCCGCTTTGTCGACATGATGTGCTACGCGCTACGGGACCCCTCGACCGCGATGGAGACAGAGTTGATGCAGGTCGTGTTGCAGTTCATGCAAGCCGCAGAGGAACTACACCTTCGCAAGAATCAAATTATGTTTTTTATCATCAGCAATTCTGTGGATAGGCATCTGCAGAAGAACAAGGACCCCAGCTCCATCCCTTATGATTCGATGCACGATTATTCGCCGCGCCAGAGGGAGAAGCCAGGGGCACCGCTAAGCCACAGCCATGGGCGTCGGCACGAGGAGAGCGCGTCTATTCTTCCTCTCCTCCGAAAGGGGACAAAGGCAAACCTTTCCGATGATGCGTCAGAGATGCATGAGAAGGTGGAGCTCCCTAATAGTTTCGTTATGCCGGTCACGAGTGAAGATGCGGAGGGTCTTCACTCGTTCACACTCAGTCTGCAAATGTTCTCGGAAGAGACGAAGATGTTGTTGATGAGTCTCGAAGAAATGCTGGATCACTCGCGGAAGAAACTGTGATGAGCTAACTTCAGCCGCGAGGACGAAGACATGTAACATGAGCAATATGTTGCCGGGGAGAGGCGGACTAAGTGAAAAGCGGTGGACGAACAGTCCCGCGATGTTTGTCCCCCCCCC